TGGGTTTGGTACCCGTTACAAAACAGGGGATTGAATCCCAAAAAAAATGGTCAATGCAATGGGAAATGGTCCACTTGGTTTTTTTGGTTAAGAACTCATTAATTTAATGTACATTAATATACTTTACATACAGTATATGTATACACGATTATACATGCACGATCACTTCCATACATTTGAATTCCAAAAAGGAACGCACATATATATATATATACATGTATGCAGTGTATATATATATAGAATAAATATGTATCATATGTATTTAAATAGCTGGAGTAGATCCCGTTGATCTCCGAAATATTTCTAGAGGGCTTAGTTCTTCAGTGTCTGACTGACGAATGGTTGCGATTCGCATGGCTCGGAATTTGTTAGATGATGGCAGAGGCTGCTGTGAACAGCCCTTTTTTGGATATGGAATAATTATGAACTACTAAATACTATAGTAAGTGTATATGTATAGTTATAACACTATAGTGTGTTCAAAACTACTATAGTAAGTGTTATGAACTAATAAGTATAGTTATGAACTACCATAGTAAGTGTTGTTCAGATTTATACAATTATGAACTACTAAGTACAGTTATTTTTTTGTATAAAAGTATATGAACTACTTAATATATGAAATAATGGCATATAATTAGTATAATTATACTGCGACTGTAGGGAACTCTTCTTACTAAGCATGGAATCTTGGCTGCAGAGATTGGTAAAGCTGCTTTGCTTGTGATGCTTGTGCCTGCGCCTTTGCCCCACAGGAGTCGTAAGTGGGTTGGTTCACTCCTCTTCTGTAACAGGAAGAACCCCACTCATCCTAGCTATAACTGGGGTTACAACCCACCTACGATTCCTGGGGTGAACCACCAAGTATATCCCATTCATGTATACTGTATATGTAATTATATAAATTATACATATATCATATACCTACAAAATCCATCACCTTTTTTTGGGGTAGTAAAAACCTAGATTTTTTTTTGGCTAGTAATCCAAAGACATACAAATAAAGAAGAAGGTGCTGGATTTCGCTCACAGGATCCAACAGGCCAACGGGCCAACACAATACCCAGCATAAAACCTATAGCCACATAAGTCTTCCATATCATCCTTAAATATCCTTAAAATAAGGGGAATTAAACACTAGATAGTTTTGTTTTTTTTAATAGATATCTATTTTTGGGGGCTATTAAAAATAGATATCCATCTATTTTTCACCCCCCAAAAAATTGGGTATAAGCTTCAGTATGTATATAAATGCATGAGAAAATAGATGCTTTCCAAAGGCTTCATCGGGGATTTTCCAGCAATGGATAATCCAAAAACGCCGTTTGTCCCGCTTGCTCCCATTCAATCCGGTTGTACCCTCTGGTTATGTCAAAATAGCTATTGAAAATGGCCATAGAAATAGTGAGTTTTCCCATTAAAAATGGTGATTTTCCATAGTTATGTTAGCTTACCAGAGGGTATCCCCATAGCCTCCAGAGAGCCCAAAGACTTGCCATCCTGCCATCCCCCAGCAGGACATTGAGCCGTACAAAGCCGCCGTTGGAGACAAGCCGCTGAGCCGAGCCGAAATTTCGGCCGGTTTTTGCCAGAGAATCAATCGATGGTTAAACTAGATATGGGGATGGGTCGAAACCGAAAAAAACCCTGTAGTTCACACAAAAATAGTTGGTATTTATGGATGTTCATTGTAAAAATGGTATGTATAGCTATTGATCCATGGCCTTATTTTGAAGATTGCCCATATTTTGAGATGGTTACCTTTCCATGAATCTTCAAGGTTCGTGGGATTTCATGGACTTCTCAGCTACAACTAGGGATTCAGGCAGAGATTTTTTGCGGAATCACCTCCAACTGGTGCATCATCACCCTGACCCAAAATGTAGGGAACATGATACTATACATCATGGATGATGGAATGGTTCAACATTTCAAATCCGCGATATATTTGCAGCATTCAAAAAGGTACAACCTGCCCCAACTCCCATGGTGAACAATTGTTTTCCCTATTCGAATTGCCATGAATTGGTGCCAAACGTCGCATTTTAGGGTACCAAAACCCAAATCATATTGTTTCTTTATCTCTCAATTCTAACAAATCTTGTATCCCAACAAAAAATCCCAATCAACTCAAAAAAAAAACCAAACCATTCACCAACTCCTTGAATTTCTTGTTCTCCCCTTGCCGAAGCTTTCACGTTGTTTCAACGTTGCGCTGAAGGTTCGGCAAGCGGCTGATCTTCACCAAGAAGAAGATGGGCGCCCAGACCTCTGAGGCCAACGACAACGCCGGTGTGGCCGCGGCCAATCAGATCGTGGGCTTCTTCGAGAAAGGTGCGACCAATTTTTGGGACGACCGGGCGGGGCCAAAACGCCAAAAAAAAGAAAGGCCGAAGTTGGGGAACATAAGTCCAATAACTTGGATTTATGTTTTTTTTTTTTTAAAGTTATAATCATGTTCATTGTCTCATGTTATATCATGTTATATCTATACTTCATGGGTTTTTTTTTCCAACCAACTTCTTATTAAGACTGGTGGGCACACTTTTTTTTTTTCGCCGCTGGCTATGAGAAAAAAATCCTGGGAATCTTCACAAACATATCATGAGAATTTGTGAAGAATATGGTTATATGGTTATATATGGTTCATAAATCTGAAGTGGTTCATAAATTTAAAAGAAATAAAAAAAAACACCTCGCCGATCGCGTCGCAACGTCACTGGAGTGATGGCGAATGTAGGGAGTGAGTACTGTAACTGTTGACAAATGGCTGCACATTTCACTTGGGTGAATTATTCTAGTTTATCCAGGTATATGCTACAATGTCAACCCCGGATGAATTTTAAGCCTGGCTGATTCAAAAACCAATGAGTGATACTTGGCTACTTAAGTGGATATTGTGATTGTAATATGTATATATATATATACATATTCAACAATCATAGTCACTGTTATTATCACGATCCTTCTTGTCATTGTCATTATCCGGCGGTATCTTGGCATGATACGGGGGGGGAATGGGAGTCGGATAAGACGATAAAACCATGCAAGCATGTGGTGATGTAAGCGACACAAATTTGTGTAGCATTTCACGTTCATTTCGCATGGCAATTGTTGGAAGAATGCTGAAAATTTTGGAAGAACCTTATACAAAGCGTTGCCAAACTCTCAAAGTTGAAACTACAGGATTGTGTTTGCAACCTGTTTGCTGTTCTATTGTTTCAATACCGTCTGGGCAATTTAACATAGCGAACTGGACAATCACCATTTTAAAGAGGTAAATCATATCATTTTTTAAATCATCTATTTCTATGGGCCATAGCCATAGCTGCTAAACCAAAGGGGTTCAGGTCTTTTTTTCATGTTTTTAGCACCAGCTCCAGATTGAAATCCATCTCCACCAGGCGAGACGCGCTTCTCATTGAAGGCCTAGGTATGCCTCGCCTCACAATCTCGATCGAAAGTGACTGTTCAACAAAAGTCCTGAAAGTGAGGCAACCTGGCCAGAAATCCATAGAGGCCTATGTAAGGGAATATCCCAACAAAATATGGTTTTATATGGTACAGTAATTACCTCCATTTTAGGATCCTGAAATTCCCATTGACAAAACTTGTGTTCCAAATTGTTGGGATGTCTTGTCCGACGAGACGTATCTGATTTGTGGTTTTATATTTTGGTGGTTTTTAAGGATGTTTTTCATGGCCACAGGGCCACTGTTGGCTCACTTTCATGGAAATCAAAGTCGTGCGGCTACGAAACCATGCGGCTTTTTGGTGTTTCAAGGCTCCAGTGAAGTCAAGGCAGCAGTGGATTCCCATGACAATCAATCCCCTCCCCTTTTAAACCTGAAGATCATCAAGAGGGGTGGTCGACAGCCGCTGCTCAGATATACCCTCTGGTAATAGCTGACATAGCTATTGAAAATGACCATAGAAATAGTGGATTTTCCCATTGAAAATGGTGGATCTTTCCATAGCAAACTGTTAGTTTACCAGAGGGTAACAGTTACGTGGTTTTTGTCATTTCATCCCACACCTTGGAATTCTTCAAGAAGAGTTGATGAAACCTGCCCAGATTCCATCAAGATTTTGGACATTTTTGGAGCCTTGGAGCCTTTTTTGGCCGCGTGGAATTTTTGACCCAAGATCCATGGGTTTCGGATGGGATCAGAGATGTTTTTAAGGGTTTCCATGGATGTTGATGGCTTATCTGTGGTCAAAGCCAATCATAAACATCCTTTTTTTTGGTTCATAGAAGCTAAACATCTCCTGAAGAGATGGAGATGGTTATCAGTTATTGGCTTTACCACCAGCTATTGGCTTATCAGCTAAAAAGAACGACCCGAAACTTACTGCCTCTAAAGTGCTCTTGTCTCCAGGGAGGATTCTGCAGATTTGTTTCGACAAAACTTGAGGGACGGCAGGTACCTCCTGGACTCTTTCTTTTATTTCGGTGAAAACAGGTGCGATCCCCCGAGTCTGAGGTCCGTTTTTTCGGGGAAATGGGATTGATCAGCAGAAAAAAGCCATCCAAGCCCTTGATGCGCATCAAATGCGGATCACTTGTGTTGGAAATAATCTCAGAATATCTGTTCTTCAAAGATGGAACAAACAATGAACACCACACAATTAGTAAATATGTACAGTGTATATATATATATACGCATAATTGTGCTTCAAAAAGAGTCTACATCCTTTGAAAGTGGTGAAAGCATCATTCAGTACGTTCCATCACGAGTATCATTGGATTGGTGGGAACCATATAACATGACCCCTCGATATTTCATGCTGTTACCATTGCTTCCGGTCAAGATTTTCCCTAACAAACCAAGCCCCATTGATGAAAAACCTTGAAAAAAGTGATGATCAATCTTCAAAACTTGGGAAAAAGTCAGCATTCAAAAGCCATTTTCCCCATGGAAATCCACATGTTCATTGGTAAAACCCATTGATCTTATCATTTTGCATCAAGTTTTCCGGGTGGTTTCACCATCCGCCAGGTAATCCCTGAGGATTACATCGTCTCAGTGAATGGCAACTCAACCATCGATAAGATGAAGGAACATTTGTTGCAATCCCTGGTGTCTCTGGCGGATTTCGCGGATTTCAAAGCGATGGTTTTGGAGAACCTGGTGGGAACCTGGGGTTTTTCTGCTCCGATTTTTTCAATTCGTGGAGATGCAACCATAGTTGCAGAGGTTATACAACGGTTATATCATGTTATATCCATATAAATATCATAGTTGCAGAGGTTATATCCAACATTATCCAACAACTTCATGTTGGGCACCATGGTTAAAACGCCAAACCTCAACTCGTGGCAAATCTATGGTCCCCCACAGGATGGTGCCCCCCGGTAATGTGAATGTTGGTTTATAAACCATGGTTAAATCTATAGTACTAAGCCATTTATAGTCTTATCTACCATAAACCATAGAATTCAGCCACTGAAAAGGCATCTGAACGCTAACGGGGGCCCCATCCTGCAGGTCTTACGTTTTGACCCATTCTCCGGCGCCGCGACCGAAAAAAATTCGCGCCATGGCAGGTGGTTCATATCCAAGTAGCGCCTGGCCTCCCAGGGAACGTGGCAAGACTTGGAGGATCCTGAAAAGATGTGGTGCTTGTAGCGGTATTTTTCCAGATTTTGCTATTGACAATGGCCATCAATGGCCCATAAGAAGTTTGGTACATTTGTTGATTTAGCAAAAATGCTGATTTTAGCAAACTGCCAATGTTTGCCAGAGGGTACAGTACTGACTATAGTTTTTTTTCGCCATCTACATATGGGATAAGCCACTGAATGGTCTGATCCAAACAGAAAAAAATCGTGGCGTCGTCATATGGGGAAAGCCCCAGCAATAAATGCTGGTTGGTGGTGACTGGAACCATGGAATTTTGAATGACTTTCCCATCATATTGGGAATGTCATCATCCCAACTGACGAACTCACTCCATCATTTTCAGAGGGGTAGGGCTCAACCAGCAACCAGATGGATATGAGACCTATAAAAACCATATATGAATATAATATATATATATATGATTACAGTATATATATATGATTATATATGATATATGGATGTGTCTGAAAGTGGGGTATGCCGAGAACCAGTTTTTTTTTTTTTTAAGGGGATACCACATTTTCAGAGAAATTCAGACATTGAGCCGTACTGACATTGGAGAGTTTTTTCTGGTACATCAGCAGGGTTTTCTAAAGTGTCAGACCTTAGAGTCTAGTTCACTGATATGTGGTCAACCCTTGCAGTGCTTGGTGGTTTCCAACAAACCATTTGCTATTGTATATATATATTTTTTTTTCTTGCGTATTTTCATATGTTCCTTTCATCATCTTTCATTCAATTCTGAAGAAGCAGAAGATATTACAAGTAAAACCATCTGTGAAGTTGTTGTTTTTTCTTTCAATCTTTTTCCGTTTTACTTCCACTTGCACTTCGCATTTGTTTTCTTGTAAATGTTTGCACAGAAAATAAAACAATCACCACTTGCACATCTTTCATCTTTCAATCTTTCCAATGTGCAAAGTGTATCAACATGTCCTAAAACACTTCCGTGTAAAGCCTCCATCCTTCCAGTGGTTTCGCAACGGTCCCCTAAGGAGATGCCCACCAGCATTGAAGGACTGAGAGAAATGGCTTACGGTGCGAAGGTTTTTCTGGGTGATGCAATGATGCTTACTCCAGTAGTTACCAGAAATGGCCGATGATTTCAGGCGAAGTACTGTAGTTAAAAAAAATGACATGGTTTGTCCAGACTCATGCCGCTCGCGGCTCGTGCAGCTCATAGCTCATAGATGCTCATGGCTCAACCCTCAAATGACTTGCAACGGAATTGCGCCCACTAAGCAGCGGAAGCAAACTCCTCGTTGAGTTTGCGAAGTTTGAGACAGTTTCGACTGCTTGGCATTCGACTGCTTGGCACTTTTTGGTGCCTGCCAACGGACCCCGGGATCCCAACGAAAAAGCCAACAGTTGTGGTGATGGTTATTTGAGCTTAAGATTTATTGATGGTAATGTGGTTGGTGGTTTGGAACATTTTATTTTCCATATATTGGGAAGAATCATCCCAACTGACTTTCATATTTTTCAGAGGGGTAGGTATACCACCAACCAGTTATTGATAGTAATGTCAAGTAATGTGGTGAAGCCAAGAAACCAATTCGCCATCGCCATGTTTCACGGAGCTTTCCGAATGACCGACCGAAAATTGGGAGGAACAGATTTTCATCGCTTCCCAAGAGGTCAACACCCTATGATTGGTTTCATCATGTTTCATGTAGCTAAATGTAGTTGTGGATGTTCGTCCCTCAAGACATGGCATCATGGAATGATTCATAACATAGCTTTTCAACCCATCCCTTACCCGGGGGCATGTTTTGAACTGAAAAATCGCAGCAGAGGGCCTTTGGAAAGCCTAGCGTTTTTGGGGCCTTTCCCGGAATTTGACGAAGCGAATCCAAGAGATACCTGTGATATCAGTTTTGGATGGTTTTGGATGAAGTGTGACTCGCCCAGTCAGAATGTTCAAGACATGCGAGGTTCGGGCCAAGGGTGGATTGGGTCATTTAGCTCCGAAGGTTGCCGTTGAGTCGCTCTCATCGATATCAAGTATTCAACATATTTCATGAATTTTCATGATACTTCAGCATGTTGTTGTCACCTGACTTGGCCCCAACCAATTCTTGGCAGAGGCTGTTCTGAGCTGCAAGCTTACAAGTTGACACTTCCTCTGATTTCTTATCCTGCAGATACCTTACGCCTTACGACATGATAGCTTGGTTGTGGCTATGGGCGGCTCAGATTCATCACATGGAGTCCATCATTGTCCTCAGTCGCCTGGAGACACCTTGGCTCAGCTGCTGAGCACGTTGACATCAACGTGCTCAGCAGCTGAACCAAGGTGTCTCCAGCTGAATCGCGGCCATGGATTCAGCCACGGCGGCGTCGGTGTACGGCATGAGATTCCCCGTCACCGCGCGCTCGCGGGATGACCCGCGGCTCCTGGGATGGAGGATGGTTGATGGCAAAAGCCAGGCGCTGCAGCAGCGACACCTGGCCGAACTGGAGGCGGAGGGCAGGAAGATGAAGGATCAACCGAAGGACACGCCGGGATCGGGGATGCTGGCGGCCATTGCGCACTTTGATGCGTTGCAAGCAGCAAAGAAGCCTGCGGTAATCAAGGCGGAGGCGGGGAGAGAGTGGATTTGAGAAAGATCTTGTTGGGATCAGTCATGATTGGGTCTCAAAGTGGCCTAGTACCAGTACCATATGGCGGGAGTTTCATCATCAAAACAAATTTTCCAACTACCCGAAAAAGGTGGTAGGCGTTGATGCAGTGCATGGTCATCGCGAAATGCCAAGTTTTGGCATTGCATATATTGAAACATTGAGACTCTGAATGCAATACCTTCGGATCCTTCAAGCACTTTCTTTCTTTCTGCAGGTGGCGGAATTTGAAGCGTCACCTGGGTCTGAAGTTGCCGAGGCAGGTGCAGTGTTTGAACAAGGTCTTTCCAAGCAGTCAAAAGTTGTGTTGCGAAGTGGAAGGGTTCAACATGGTTCAACATGGGTCAACGACATTTTACTCCCTCATCATTGCCACAGTTTTTGTCACTGAGTGGCACTGAAGCACAATGCACTGGAGGTGTTGATGCGGCAAATGGTCAGAGTGAAGCAATGAAACATTCAGATTTCATAATTTAGCCCACAGGATTTTGCTTTCTGCCTGTGCTCATTGCAGGGCCCTCCTGAGCCAGTCGAGGCAGAGATAGTGGGTTTGAACAATGTCTTGTCACAAAAGCTAGTGATAGCGAGCTTGATTTTTTTCATCTTTTTGCCTTGCTTTCGCAAGGGATGTGGAGCAGTCAAAGTGCCAAACCCGCAATTTGTCATGCACACTTTGATATGGATTCATTTCTTCCAGTGATCCACCCAACTCCTTCCCACTTAGTCACTCCACTCCACCTTGCTCTGACCACCTTGCCACCTTCCTCCACGCTACCCTTCGCATCTCCCTTCTCATTGCTAGCGCCCATGGCTTTCTATGCCTTCTCCGCTCCCACATCTTTTTTCTTGGCCTTTTGTTTACCAACCCTCGGACTCAAGTTTGGACCTTTCCCCATGGTATTTTGCTCATAACTCATGCCCATCATCAACCAGTAGTTCCAGCTGAACATAAAGGAACCCGAAACCTTAACATGCCACCTGGTGCAAGTGAAACATACATTGAAACATGTTGAAACATGTTGAAACATTGAATTTCTGAATGCCATACCTTGGAATCCTTAGAGCTTGGCTTCCGGCAGGTGTTGCCACTTTCTGAAGTGATTGCCGAGGCAGGTGCAGTGTTTGAACAAGGTTTTTCCAAGCAGTCACAAGTTGTGTTGCGAAGTGGAAGGGTTCAACATGGTTGAACGACATTTTGCTCCCTCATCATTGCCGCAGTTGTTGTCACTGAGTGTCACTGAAGCACAATGCATTAGAATGTGTTGCTGCGGCAAATGGTCAGAGTGAAGCAATGAAACGTTAAGATTTCATAATTTAGCACACAGGATTTTGCTTTCTGCCTGTGCTCATTGCAGGGCCCTCCTGAGCCAGTCGAGGCAGAGGCAGTGGGTTGAACAATGTCTTGTCACGAAAGCTAGTGGTAGCAAGCTTGATTTTTTCATGTTTTTTTCTTGCTTTAGCAAGGGATGTGGAGCAGACCAATTGCCAAACCCGCAATTTCTCATGCACACTTTGATATGGATTCATTTCATCCAGCGATCCACCCAACTCCTTCCCACGTAGTCACTCCACTCCACCTTGCTCTGACCATCTTGCCACCTTCCTCCACGCTACCCTTCGCATCTCCCTTCTCATTGCTAGCGCCCATGGCTTTCTATGCCTTCTCCGCTCCCACATCTTTTTCTTGGCCTTTTGTTTGCCAACCCTCAAGGACTCTAGTTTGGACCTTTCCCCATGGTATTTTGCTCATAACTCATGCCCATCATCAACCAGTAGTTCCAGCTGAACATAAAGGAACCCGAAACCTTAACATGCCACCTGGTGCAAGTGAAACATACATTGAAAATCATTAAAAATCATTGAAACATGTTGAAATATTGAATTTCTGAATGCCATACCTTGGAATCCTTAGAGCTTGGCTTCCGGCAGGTGTTGCCACTTTCTGAAGTGATTGCCGAGGCAGGTGCAGTGTTTGAACAAGGTCTTTCCAAGCAGTCAAAAGTTGTGTTGCGAAGTGGAAGGGTTCAACATGGTTCAGCGACATTTTGCTCCCTCATCATTGCCGCAGTTGTTGTCACTGAGTGTCACTGAAGCACAATGCATTAGAATGTGTTGCTGCGGCAAATGGTCATAGTGAAGCAATGAAACATTAAGATTTCATAATTTAGCCCACAGGATTTGCTTTCTGCCTGTGCTCATTGCAGGGCCCTCCTAAGCCAGTCGAGGCAGAGGCAGTGGGTTTGAACAATGTGTTGTCACGAAAGCTAGTGGTAGCAAGCTTGATTTTTTTCATGTTTTTTTCTTGCTTTAGCAAGGGATGTGGAGCAGTCCAATTGCCAAACCCGCAGTTTGTCATGCACACTTTGATATGGATTCATTTCATCCAGCGATCCACCCAACTCCTTCCCACTTAGCCACTCCACTCCACCTTGCTCTGACCATCTTGCCACCTTCCTCCACGCTACCCTTCGCATCTCCCTTCTCATTGCTAGCGCCCATGGCTTTCTATGCCTTCTCCGCTCCCACATCTTTTTTCTTGGCCTTTCGTTTACCAACCCTCAAGGACTCAAGTTTGGACCTTTCCCCATGGTATTGTGCTCATAACTCATGCCCATCATCAACCAGTAGTTCCAGCTGAACATAAAGGAACCCGAAACCTTAACATGCCACCTGGTGCAAGTGAAACATACATTGAAAATCATTGAAATATGTTGAAACATTGAATTTCTGAATGCCATACCTTGGAATCCTTAGAGCTTGGCTTCCGGCAGGTGTTGCCACTTTCTGAAGTGATTGCCGAGGCAGGTGCAGTGTTTGAACAAGGTCTTTCCAAGCAGTCAAAAGTTGTGCTGCGAAGTGGAAGGGTTCAACATGGTTCAACGGCATTTTGCTCCCTCATCATTGCCGCAGTTGTTGTCACTGAGTGTCACTGAAGCACAATGCATTAGAATGTGTTGCTGCGGCAAATGGTCACAGTGAAGCAATGAAACATTAAGATTTCATAACTTAGCCTACAGGATTTTGCTTTCTGCCTGTGCTCATTGCAGGGCCCTCCTGAGCCAGTCGAGGCAGAGGCAGTGGGTTTGAACAATGTCTTGTCACGAAAGCTAGTGGTAGCAAGCTTGATTTTTTTCATGTTATTTTCTTGCTTTAGCAAGGGATGTGGAGCAGTCCAATTGCCAAACCCGCAATTTGTCATGCACACTTTGATATGGATTCATTTCATCCAGCGATCCACCCAACCACTTAGTCACTCCACTCCACCTTGCTCTGACCATCTTGCCACCTTCCTCCACGCTACCCTTCGCATCTCCCTTCTCATTGCTAGCGCCCATGGCTTTCTATGCCTTCTCCGCTCCCACATCTTTGTTCTTGGCCTTTCGTTTGCCAACCCTCAAGGACTCAAGTTTGGACCTTTCCCCATGGTATTTTGCCCATAACTCATGCCCATCATCAACCAGTAGTTCCAGCTGAACATAAAGGAACCCGAAACCTTAGCATGCCACCTGGTCCAAGTGAAACATACATTGAAAATCATTAAAAATCATTGAGACATGTTGGAACATTGAATTTCTGAATGCCATACCTTGGAATCCTTAGAGCTTGGTGTTGCCACTTTCTGAAGTGATTGCCGAGGCAGGTGCAGTGTTTGAACAAGGTCTTTCCAAGCAGTCAAAAGTTGTGTTGCGAAGTGGAAGGGTTCAACATGGTTCAACATGGTTCAACGACATTTTACTCCCTCATCATTGCCAGACTTTTTGACACTGAGTGTCACTGAAGCACAATGCACTGGAGGTGTTGATGCGGCAAATGGTCAGAGTGAAGCAATGAAACATTAAGATTTCATAATTTAGCCTACAGGATTTTGCTTTCTGCCTGTGCTCATTGCAGGGCCCTCCTGAGCCAGTCGAGGCAGAGGCAGTGGGTTTGAACAATGTCTTGTCACGAAAGCTAGTGGTAGCAAGCTTGATTTTTTTCATGTTATTTTCTTGCTTTAGCAAGGGATGTGGAGCAGTCCAATTGCCAAACCCGCAATTTGTCATGCACACTTTGATGTGGATTCATTTCTTCCAGCGATCCACCCAACTCCTTCCCACTTAGTCACTCCACTCCACCTCGCTCTGACCATCTTGCCACCTTCCTCCACGTTACCCTTCGCATCTCCCTTCTCATTGATAGCGCCCATGGCTTTCTATGCCCTCTCCGCTCCCACATCTTTTGTCTTGGCCTTTTGTTTACCAACCCTCAAGGACTCAAGTTTGGACCTTTCCCCACGGTATTTTGCTCATAACTCATGCCCATCATCAACCAGTAGTTCCAGCTGAACATAAAGGAACCCGAAACCGCAATATGCCACCTGGTGCAAGTGAAGCATATATTGAAATCAGTGAATACATCATTGAAAATCAGTGAAACATGTTGATGAAACATTGAATTTCTGAATGCATTACCTTGAATGAAATCATTAGAGGCTGCTTCCGGCAGGTGTTGCCACGTGTTCTGAAGTGATTGCCGAGGCAGGTGCAGTGTTTGAACAAGGTCTTTCCAAGCAGTAAGTTGTGTTGCGAAGTGGAAGGGTTCAACATGGTTCAACGACATTTTGCTCCCTCATCATTGCCGCAGTTGTTGTCAATGAGTGTCACTGAATCACAATGCATTAGAATGTGTTGCTGCGGCAAATGGTCAGAGTGAAGCAATGAAACATTCAGAGTTCATAATTTAGCCCACAGGATTTTACTTTCTGCCTGTGCTCATTGCAGGGCCCTCCTGAGCCAGTCGAGGCAGAGGCAGTGGGTTTGAACAATGTCTTGTCACGAAAGCTAGTGGTAGCAAGCTTGATTTTTTTCATGTTTTTTCTTGCTTTAGCAAGGGATGTGGAGCAGTCCAATTGCCAAACCGGCAATTTGTCATGCACACTTTGATATGGATTCATTTCTTCCAGCGATCCACCCAACTCCTTC